CCCGCCTTCATGCGGCAAACATGCAAAAGTTTCGACGAGAGGCTCTACCAAGCGGCAAACACGCCCGTCTCGGCGTCGCCGCGTTCTAGTGCCGCGCTCGCTGCGAGAGGCGCGGGCGGCAGTGCGTGCCGGCAAAAGAGACGGCCTTGTTTCCTAGGTGGCATTGTGGAAACCAGCCCTTAGTTCTCGCATGCAGCTCTGCCGCTGACAGCCTTAATCAATCACCGTTCACTTCTGCCGGGACCCGCAATATTTCTTCTTGTCGCCCATACGCCTTTCACCCACGCGTTTCTTTTTTCCTTTTTGTTCTCGCGAAGCTTTGACGGCTTGAAATTGTCCCGTGCGGTCGTCAGACACGACAAATGAGCCGGCGTCTGGATCAACAATCTCGAGGCTCTGGTCGGTTGTCGGTGCAGATAGATACTGCACAACACATGTTCACTACACTGTAATATACGCGTGCCGTAATGGCGTTGTTTTCCCAGTTTTCTTTCTCGTGCCGGAAGACGAGATGGGAACGCGGAACAACGCGAGCGAGCACGCAGGTAAACATTAGCGCGTAATTGAAAAAAGGGGCGCCCTTAAGAATAGAAAAAAATAAGCTCGAAACTAATACAACGAAAGGGAGTGTCTACCACCTAATTACGGTCAATATATCGAAATAACTATTCTTACCGTGAGTGAGAGCCTTAACAGCAGCATGCGAGTGTCGTTCCTAATATAAACTCCGTTTTGTTTGCATGGATTGCTGAAAGCACATGCGTTAACCCAAGAAAAACAAAAAGATTTGTAATGTTTTTTTTTTTACATATTTGACCCTCTCCTACCAGGGGTGTCCCATTGGCTTTATTTGTGTTTTGTTTAAAAATGTGAAACTGAATTAAAATTCTGCTTTAGTCTGCACTTAAAGGTGTATCGTAATTCCCTTCCAGGAAAAATGCCTAATGACTAACCTACTTAGTTCGCTTTTGGCTCAACAAATGGTCGATACCAGATGTGACGTTTTTTTCAATGCCCGACACATTGAGCGCACACAAAACAGATGTTTAAAGCCTGAGGCGACGAAAATAGAGGTACAGGACAGCAACACATCTAAACAACACGTCGTTTAAACCGCGTTGTTGTTCTGTCCCTTTGTTTCCGTTGTCTGTGATTCTAGCTATATGCAACTTCAACCAGCTTGCCTGTTTATGAGCATTATCAACGAACATCACGTCGGCGCTTTTACGGTGGTATCCATATACGGCCCGCAATTCCAGCCAATTGGTAGTGTCTGATCGTCATTGTGAGCGGGAGGGTTTTCTAGGCAACGGGCGGCCGATAAAGTAGCGTGTCAACGGCGGGGAGGGATAGACAGATGACTTCATCGCGCTGGAAAGCAACGCAGCGCGCTGGTGGCTGCGCGCACTTCATGTCACTTCGGAGAAATTTGACTGCATAGCCGGTCGCTTGCCAAGGAAAAACCTTACGAGATTCTAGGAGGTGGATTGAGTCTCTGCTCTTCAGATCCGAGAATAATCCCATAAATAAATTACTTGGATCAGGTTTTTATCTTCTGTCGTATTCCCTAAGACACACACACAAACACGCAAAGTCTTCGGCTTAACCTTTGGAAAACAGCGGGATACAACGCAGTTAATTATTCAGGCAGGATTCCACCGAAGAAATATTCATTATCCGGAGAAAAAAAAGATGCCCGTAATTCAGTGTTGGACAAAATACTCGATAAAGGTATTTAAGTTTAGTTACTAAATACCTGCTTCATGAATTATTTAAAATACTGCTCAAGTTACTTTCAATGTAAAACATCTTGTGTAGAGTACAAATTATTACAAATGTAATTCGATCAGTTTTGAAGATCCGCAATGCGTAATTTGTATCGACGGCAGTGACAAACACAATTATAGATTTGCGCAAATCTGGTTTACCAGAATGGTTTATGAGCACGCGATAGCAGAAAACTGCACAAAACCCTTTAACCAAACAAACCACCGTCGCTAAAAACAGACTTCAACTCGTTCACGAGTGCTGACACACTTGCTCCAAAGACTCGCTTTTATTCGGGAATTCTAGCGGAAAAACAAACAACGCGTAAAAAAGCTACATCTAATTTGCTTTGATATTTGAAGTAAAGTGTAGATACATAAATCAAAAGTACGCCCCCGTACTTTTTTTTTTTAAATTAGATTTTCGGGAAGTGCACTTGTTGAACGATACCAGTCCCCAGCAAAGGTTGAAGCAGCGAAGAGTCGACAGAGTGAAGCGAAATCAGATTCTCCTCAATAGCGAACTGAAAGGCAATGCAACCCTACAACAGGGTTAGACCAAACTCAAAGGAAAAACAAAATATAAAAAAGGGAAGCACCAAAAGAAAAGAACGTCGCCTACACGATACATTTATCACATCGCCTCTTGGCCGTCCCCAGACAAGCCGCCGGCTCTTTCACCGATCCTCGAATCCGCACCAAACGTGCGATCACGGAGCGGTGCCAGACCACCCAAAAGCCCACCGAACGACCCGATTTAAATTTCAGTGGCTGCCCCACACCAACCCAAGTCTGATGATAGCCATTCCTTACGCCACGCTCGCCCTTTTTCTCACGCTCGCCCCCGGTCTCATTTTTTTCTCCCGACCGCCCACCGTTCGAACACGGAAAAGCTGATAACCCTTAAAACCTTTTTTTTTCTCCTTTCCCCCAAAACTCTCATTTGGGTCCTCTAAAAGTAAACAAACACAAGCGGGAGAAACCCCCGAGAGCGCGTGCACACAGAAAGCCTTCCCCAGAACGCGAACGTCAAAAAATTGGGACCAAATCCCGGCTCTCTCCCGTCCAACGAGACTTTCAGATTTTTTTCCCAAGTTTCCCTTCCCCATTTCAGACCTAAACTCTGTTGATCTTACGATGGACCGCAGCGGGACGCTTCCAGACATCCAAGCCAATCCAGCGCAGGGAACGTGCCACGTGACTACTCGCTCCTCGCGGCGCAGCGACCCCTCCCGAAGATCACGCGACGCGCACGCGACTCTGGATTGACTTGGATGTCTCGTGGGGTCGTTGCCGGCTCATCGTAAGCTGAAACAGAGTGTACGTGCAGGGAGCCCCGTTACGGCCCATCCCCTTTATGGTGATGACCCTCGCGCTCTTGTGGAGGGCCTCCTCGGTGGCGTCGAAGATGGGCCCAGAAACGAGCACGTAGCCGCCACGGCGTCTTTTGCTGGTTCGCGCCCGCTTTGCATCAGATCTGCTTTTTCACTTCGTCTGTCGCTCCTGCTCGCTCCTTCTCTCGTTATTAGGCGAAGCGAGCAAAAAAAAAGTAAATCTAAAACAAACGGGGATCAAATGGAAGATGGCCTGGAAAATGTTCTAAGGTGTGTGACCCCATATGTTGCAGCGGTGACAAATCAAGCCGGATTTCATTTCTTGGAAAACACGCGACTCGAAGAATTTCACAGATGTGCTACTATAAACAGGGAGAAACACGCTGTGGGGAATGTAGACTGAGCAACACTTTTCGCGCGAATTCGAAGTGGGCGCTTTTTCGCACGTTACAATTCCAAAGGGCATTGGAGGGCCCTAATGTTTCCCTTCTTGCTTGAGTCCCAATTTATCACTGCACATTGAACAAGTATTTTTCATTACATACTTTATAATTCCAGGATAAAAACAAAACAAAGAACAGGTATCGCCTATTGGCGGTTAACGATGTCTCACAGTGTACGGGCAGTGAAAGGCATCTTCGACGTGTGTGATTAGCGTCGTATCGCCCCCAGGCAGCGAGCAGGTGGCGGCTCGGTAGGTCACTAGTCAGCGCGGCTAGTGGCCAAAAATGGAAACTTTGGGCAGGTCACAATTTCGAACGAGTAAACAGAGACGTCTGCGTGAAACTCGGCGGTGTCTTCAAACGTTCAAGCTCGAAATCGAATCCAATGATCGCGGCCGCGGACCGTCCAAGAGTTGTGACAATTCTCCACTAGAAGGCACTACATGTCGAACTGAACTTAATTACCCTGTCAGCATACCTCCAGGTGTAAAAAAAGCGATCGCAGAGTGGCACGGATTTGCGTCACAGGAACCGACGGCTCGCTTTGCCCCATTTCACAATCTTACGGCTTGTTGTAGAAGCGCTGGTGAAGACAGTGACCGGACGCAAGGGTCGCTGTCGTCTCGGTGTCCCAACTCGTGGCTGCTTAATTTCCATTTGACTGGGCAGCTTTAGAGCGAGCTAAGGCAGAACAAGCGTCAATCGAGGCCATCTTTACTGCTGCGCACCACCAGGATCGCGAGGAGCAACAGTGACTTGTAATGCCGCAAAACAAAATCAAGGGAAAAATAAAAGACGCGGTAAACATACTTTTCGGAGACGCTGTTTAGGCACCAAAGTAAATTGTGAAATCGGATACTGGGGTTTTAGTTTTATGCCCGTACTTGAATTTTTAGCGTTTGCAACATAAATTTACAGAAGGTTCAACTTCTGCTCTATTGTTCAGGCTTTCATTAATAACATTTCGGTGCACTTGCAGTCAGGCACTATGGAAGGCGGGAAGCGCGTGCTGGAGGCAGAGTGTGTACCGCAGACCTCATGCTGCACAGGTCGTTAGCACGCAACTTGTAGTACATCCTAAGCACAGCATTGGTGTTGCTATAGGAAGCTGGTGTCGTCCCTTTAAGACCTGATTCAGCGCGCGCGCCCACAAAGTCCGTAATTCGCAGCGTAAAATCTGCGAAAATCCCTTAATGATTCACAGTGGTAGTCCGCGTCAAGAAGCTTATCCGTAATTCTTGTTCGCTTCGCTAACTTTGAATTTCTTAGTCCACCATATATTAGAACAGGCGAATGTGGTCCCAAATGTAAACGCATGATTCACACATTCACGACTGCTTACGACTGGAGAGGCTACAAAACCGGTTGTGGCTCCATGGGACGTGCGGAAACGTTGAAACGTAGAGCCTCGCTCATTACGACTAAGGCTCGAAACCTGAGCTCCAAAGGGGACTCACCGGTAACTTGTAGCTGCGTCTCCATGCGGTCCTCTCCGATGGAATTGTTGACAACGCACACGTACTTGCCGGCATCTGCCACTGCCACGTGCCTCAGCACGAGCGTGCCGTCCGCCTGCGAGACCCGGCCGCTCTCCAGGGTGACCTGCCAGCCGCCCTCGACCCGATGCCACGAGTACGAAGGAACCGGGAACCCTTGCGCCGCGCACGGGACCTTCACCGTGTCGCCGCGTCGGGCCCGCACCACGGGGCGACGGTCCGTCAGCCGAGGAGACGTGTTCACGTGAGTGTCTGCAGCGAAGGCGAAAAAGGAGAGTGATGTTAATGCCAGCACTCTTAATGCCTGGTTCACACAGCACCGATTTCTTTCGTTGTTTTGTCACGTTTAAGTATCCGAAAACATTGCTGTCTCGTATGTCGCGTGCTAGGCTTTTTTTTTTTTTTTTAAATGGTAGCCACGCTTAACATGAAACGCAGTTGTCCCCCCGTGGCTTTCGGCGCAAGTAGATGCAGGTTTTAGTAACGTAACATAATGTAAGAAGATGGGGCTTTGTGAACTTCTGCTAATAATTGCAGCTACTCTTCTGTCCATGTGACGTATGGCGTTTTACAGGGCAGCATGCTTCGTCCCTAACTTTTTGACATCTCTATAAATGGCTTACTCACTGGTGTTTTGTGAAAATTTCGATTATTTGTAGATGATTGCGTCATTAGTGCAACATGTCGAGTGACAGCGACAGTCAAGCTGTTCAATCCTATCTGAACGCATTAACGCATGGTGTTCATCCTGGCAGCTGTCAATATAGCTCTCAATAACAAAAAGCAGGCCGTTTGCTAATAGCTTGCCTCCGCTTTTGACCACATACTTTTTACATAACAACTTGGTCGAAGTCACTTGTACATTTAAGTACTCAGGAATTCATATTCAGTCTGATATAAAATGGCAAAACAACATTAATTTCACCCTTGCACCCTCTAACGGGTCGCTTGGTCTCAACAGGCGCAGCCCATACGCGGGTTCCTATCAATTTAAGAGAACTTGCCTTCATTACAGATCAAATCAATCCCCCCTAAAATATTATATGCTTCGGTAAGATAGGATCCTGACCTGGCTTACATCATAAATAACATTGAGACCCTGTAAAACCGAGATGTTCTTTTTTTTTTTTCCAGATTATTAACCCTTTTTCAGTAATACAGGAATAAACAAATAGTGCTCAGTGGCCAGGCATCTCACATCACCGGAAACGTGCTCGCCTAACATTGTTTCACAAACCTTTATCATCTTGAATCGTTCAACGATGATTCTTTCAGGCGCGTCACGTTATCGTTCCACGTCGTGCTCACTCCTATAAAATTAAACGCATCACATGCCACTCAACTTTTTATACACAATCATTCCCGTCACGATCAATATTCGTCTAAAATAACCTACCAATATACATGGCCACCGAATTTGATGTAACAAAATTTAATTAACTCATGCGCGGTGTTTACAACATATAGTTTTTCCTTGTCTACTCGGTGAATTCTGCTTATATTTATCTTTTTTTATCCTTTTAGCCTGTTTTTTATTTTTACAAAAGCTTACATTTTTGCTATTTAGTATATTTACTGCGTTTTCATCCCCCCCCCCCCCGCCCCCTTGATCCCCTATGTAGTACCCTACTTTTCAGGACCTTTGGGGGTATTTTGAATAAATAAATAAAATAAATACTATGACTCTTTATGTATCCTCAGTGGGCCCTACAACGCACTTCCAAAAAACACATACCGTATCAGCTGCAAAGCCGATAAAAAAGACAGCAACCACCGAATATGCCCACGTAGAAATAAAAAGGCAATAGGGTAACTTTCAGGATGCAGGATGAAGACATCTTTCTGTTGCCCCACCTCCTGTACGTGCTTGATGGCTTCAAGGAGCACGGAAAAGGAATTGTGGACTTCATTTCTTTCTTCAACATGAATTAGGTAGCAGCAAAAACCTCAGAAACATCAACATTCAATTGAAAAAGGCAAGAAAACAAATTTTAAACTAAAGTAAACGATGACCGCGAACCATCATGGTTGTTGGTTATGAAGCATCAATGGAATGTCGATGACGGCATTGGCCTCCGACGGCAGCGCCACTAAATGGGAAATATGCTCACTAGTACAGAGTACCTATACTCCGTTTCAGCTTCGGTCCGAGCGCGGCCGATGTTATGAGCCGAAGGGCCAATCAAACAGCGCAAAAACCGCAGCGTCATGGCGTGCTCTCTGTGCCTGATGCGACTAGCCGGCGGAGGAGCACGGTCAGAGACATAGCGAATATCGGCTGGTCCTATCAACTGCAGAGAGCACGCCATGACGTTGTGCCTCTTTCGCTGTTTGATTGGCCCTTCGGCTCATAACATCGGCCGCGCTCAGACCGAAGCTGAAACGAAGTATAGGCCAGAACCTAACACCGAAGGTTGTAGAAGAAAGTCAAAGTACAGTTGGCTACTTTCGATTCACTCCGCTAGCCAATCGCTTCCCCTTATTCTTTGACATCACTGACGTCAGGGGCTGATGAACTATCTTCTTCAACATGGCGCGCGCTGCTCTCAGCATCAATGTCGCCGAGGGACGCCGACCTCTCAAAGTGACTCGCGGTTACGTCGCAAAGCTGCGCCGGTAGCCGCTTTTGTGAGCTGTAGTTTCTGTGCGACGATGTGAGAATTCAGCGTACGTCTTGCCGCCCAACTTAGTCGTCGTCGACGTGCGAATTGCTACGGATGCGTACGCCTCGTTGGACGAGATGGACGAGACCGATGAAACCGGTGCCGATCGCTTCTCGTTATTCGTTTAAGGTTCACCATTGAGACAGGTCGCGTTGAAAAATCGTGGTGATGCGCGCGTTTTTTCGTGGTAGTTTTTGTGTGACAATGTGAGAATTGTACAGTCGTCTTCTCTGTGCCTTGTGCTCTTGCTTGGAAAATCGCGTCTCGTCGAGATCAACGCAATCCTCCTCTACGCCGATTCCTTTTCTCCGTTAGTTCAGAGGTCGCTCCTGTGACAAGGAATGTGGCAAAACCGTAGTGGTGTACGCGTCTCTTCGAGGTGGAGTGATACTGCTGCAGTCATCACACCACTATCGATGCAATACATTGCGTGAAATACTCGACATATATGCCACCGCCATGCTGTCTCACCGGACTCGGCCTACTTCCATGCTCGATTTAATAGATGAAAGATGCCGACTGATATGGCGCCGTCAAAGCGATATTTATTTATCCGAAAATTCGGCGCCCTCGCCGGGTCTGTTCGTTGTGACCAATCGACGGTAAATCAGGTAAGCAGCATTTGCTTCGTGCTACCGAATATCACACGTGATCCTGTCGTCAGATCACGTAGGAAACCTAGCAGCATCTCGCCTCGTGCGAAATAACAGAGGTAGCTTAGCAACCTCGCGGCGGTGTCGTTCCGTTCAAAGATCAGCGAGCTCGTGCCCGAGTCCGACGTTGCCGATGTCGCCATATTGACCAAGTCGCGGAGCAGACGGCGCACTACGTGCTGTCATAGCGCGCACGACACCACCGGTTCCGCAATCCCTCGGTAATTTGTTATAGCCCTTGGCAACTCTGACTGAGCGAGGTAGTAACGCCTTGACGTCACCAAGTGTCGACGCTCATAACTACGGTACGCTTGGCCATTGGGAAACCGATGACGTCACGGCAAGTCGCGGGTGCGACGGATATCCCGAGACACACCCCGCTCTTCAATGGCGGCTTTTGAAACGCTCGCCGAAATCGAACATTTAGAGCGAAAAATACAACCATCCGTTCTAAATACGAGCATGCCATTGTCAGTGGCAGATAGAGTTGATCACGTTCAACTTATTTCTGAACGTGAGTGGTATATTTTAATCTCACACTGCTCATATATTACAAAAGAAAAGCAGTCTGCAAACACTAGTAACCGAAATATGCGGCATTCGAAGCACCGATCTCGTGGTGACTTCTATTCTAATCTGTTTGCAGACTGTCTTTTGTACGATGCATAAGCAGTGTGACCCCGGCTTAAGCCGTGCTTTCACTGTTGCCTTCGGCCATGCTTTGAATCCGCGTGCACGCTCGAGGTTCGCGAGACGCCGAAGTGTTGTCAAAGGTGCGAAGCGCCTTCTCGAGTCGGGACAACCGAAGGACGCCCCTGCGATCTTCATCCTGCCAGTGGCCTAAGCACGGTTGCCAATATTTGCTTCTTGGTTCTCAGTACGAGCATTTGACGTTATGTGGAAGTGTCGTTGAACTGTGAAGTTCCTGAGATACGTCCCTAACAATGGCGCGAGCACGTTTAAGGAAACCATTAAAAAAAACGCTATTAAAGAACGAGACCTAGTCTGAGAAACGCACAAAAAATAGTGCCTTTTTTTTTTTTTTACGTAGTTTATATTTAATTTTGTTTGCTTTTTCATTCTTGAAATAGTTTTAAATATACTCTCCTTTACTTTAGAACATGCTACGTATCACCCCCAGACGCGCGAAGTGCGGTCATCTCTTCTCGTTTTTTTTGGTTTGCGGCTTCATTTTCTAAACATGCTCACCAGATTTAGATCTTATTGTGCTTGGACGCAGCAAACTTTGTTGCCATCAAAACTGCCTCGAGTTTAAATTTAGATTTTCTCGGAGAGATCACTGAATTTTCTGTTTTGCCATTAGTCAATAGATAGTGAAATTAGACAACACCTAGTGAACCATACCTGGCAGTCTGTGTAACTTGTCACTAGCACTGCATCTAGTTCGCGATCTGACAAGGAAAAGAAATCAGGGGCATCCGCCATTACACGTTTTGATGTTTCACAAACGATTAATGCGATTATGAATATTCATTTATTTCTTTCCCCTGTCTCCTATAGGTGAAAAGCTGACTCTAGGTTACTAGAAATTAGCAGCAACCTTGGCTCTCAAAATTTTATAATGCATAAAATGCGTTATAGGGAATTTGTCAAGGAATTGGTGTGACGCGTGACCAAGGCTGGGCAGCGATACTCCAAACAGTATTCGGG